TACTGAAATTTTCCATTTTGCCATTCGTAACTTCATTCTTCATGCAACAATAACAATTCATGTTGCAGCTCAATATGTATTTTGTGAATATAATGAACCACAGTGGTTTTCAGTCATTCATATGTTTATTAAAAATTGACTGCAAATGTAAATACATATGTATATATACAATGTATACAGCAGATGTTATATACTATTTTATTTAACATTTGTTTAATCTTAGAAGTTTTGGGTGACTGTGAAGTATTCTGTACTGGAAGTTCCTTGTTTAAAAGTCAAGACTATGATGGGCAATACACATACGAGCTGAAACTTCAGGTCCATTGCATCATTTACCAGTCAGCCATTTTTTAATATTTTTTAAAGTTATTTTTAGTATTACATTTTTAATTAAGATGTTACAATGTGATGGAATATTGGTGCTTTAATTTAAACTACTGCCATAAATGATACATAAAACATATGTGTTAGTTATTTAGCTTCTATTTGCTGAATATGAAAGTTACAAATCCCGTAAGATATTGAGAAATATCGTAACTCTTTAAGTAAAAAAGGCATTTAATTGCAGTTATTGAATTTGACTACTACTTTCAGTCTACAAGAGAAAAAGCACGAATCAGTCATCATAATCATTAATCATTATTAATGATTTAATCTATTATAATCAGAATTAAGTTGTATGATTGTGAAAAGTAGGTGAAATAAGAGGTTGTGGAGTCTTCTTTATAGGTAATGAGGTGAAATTTTATAAGAACAACGCACAAGAGTCCTTCACTTTTGAAGACTTTTGTTTTGAAGTTTTTGTTTTTATATGTATGTACAGAGTAAAGTCATTTTCTTCCAATTACGTTTACCCGAAGCATGAGCCAGCTGTGTATGAAGAATGTCTGTGTTCTCGTGGATGTGCAGTCTTAGTAGCATAAAAGTTTAAGTCATGTAGGTGTTTGGGAACATATCTAGATGGTCCAATGCAATAAGATACTGTTTAATCTTTTTTATGTTTGAGTTATCCCTGTTGCAAATTCTTTTCATTATAAATATGTATGTAATTCTTAGGCAGTGTCTGCAAGCCATATATTATTTTTTTAATATATAAAATTAAGTAATATATTCCAAAACACATTTCATTGTGGAATATTACTGTAAAATCGTTGCCTGTGATGGTTTTATTTCAATACACACTGTAATATGACATTTAAGTTCTGACTATATTAATTATATAGTGGAAGACACTATTTTAAATGGAAAAACTACATATTAAATCAAAGAATGCTTTCATGTGTTGTCTTCAAGTTTTGCTCCATTAGTACTGTGAAAGGCAATAGCTGTTTATACTGTGTATGTTAGTGAACTGAAATGTCAGAATGGGAAGTGCTTAATCACAGATGCTGAATTAAATGGAAGTGAAACTATGATTAAGTAAGGTAAGAACGTGAAGTAAGCTGGGTTACTAAAACACTTGTAAACTGAAATGCCCAAAGATGTATAGAAGTTATTATTTGGTACTTGACTGCTAAGAGACCTTCATATTCAACACTTTCAGTGTGTGGTCTATCCCTGTTGTAGAGGCTTCTTTAATATAAGTTCAATTGCCTCCTCAGATATTTGGACATGGGATGGTTTACTGATTGAATGTTTTTATGACTGCTTTCAACAGACAGGATTACTGCAAGATTACTGTTATTTTTCTAAATTAGAAATGATACAGCTATGTTAGTGAATTTCTTTACTAATCACTCTGATTTCCATGTAGAATATGTGTATTAATAACAGGTTTCAAATCGATGAGAGGCTGGTGTTAATTTTGAATCATCCAACAAAACCTTCAGTCCATGTTTTATCTAGCTATGAAAAAAATTAGATGCATTATTTAAAAAAAAATGTTGCCACTGTCAAATATGAGCAAGATATAAATATGTAACCAGCTTCATTTACAATTCATTATTGCCTTCCTCTCAACCTTCCTTCTTACTTGTGTTTAGATGGTTTAAACCGTTTTCTAGTCACCAGAAGTGTTACATTTCTCCGTTCTGACTCATTTTATATATCTGCTTTATGCATTAACAAATGGGTAATGGAGTCTTTCCTTAAGTTTCTCGTTTTATGCTAACTTTCTGAATGATTTACTTACCAGTAACATTGTGCCAAGTTAATGAATTGGAGAACTGAAAACACAGTAATCTGACATGACTGAAATGCAGTATAAATCCTACTATTAAGTTAATAAATTGTCATTCACTTAGAATTTGTATAGTTCAAATGATATTTGATGGTAGTGCCCAGTGTTAAGTGGGAACTGCTAAGCAAGCACAACTTTACAGAGAACCAAAACTGTTTTGGCAGTGGCTGAAGTAAATTTGTTTAGTTAAAATATGAGCATGAAGTATTTGGCAGAATTTGATCTTATACAAAATAGAATTATTCAGAAGTGAAAACAATACGAGTATATGAAGATTGTAGGTATTTCAGCTTATTGTTAAGCATTGTTTATGAACAGGTTGCCCAGAAACATAATACATATTTTGTGAATACATTACTTAAACTAATAATTTGTTTATATTCCAGTGCTATAAGATATATATTCCAGATTCTGAAAGGTTCAATTTATCTATTTAATGCAGACTATTAACTATCTTCATGGAGCAGTCATCCTTGGAGCTAGTAGTCACTCAGCTAGTCAAGAGGTTCCTCACGTTTTATGGAAACCGAAGGTTCAGTACTGTGTTCACAGGGGCTCACTACTAGTTGCTACCCTGAGCCAGATGTATCCAGTCCACATTCACACACCCTATTTCTGTAAGATTCATTTCAGTATAATCATCCCATCTGCCTAGGTGTCCCAAGTGGTCTCTTCCTGCTCATGTGTATATTTAAGGATAGCATATGTTATCATAAACTTAAATTATATGTGGACTGCATCCACTTCTTCTCCCACTTAAACATATCCTTTAGCATATTAATTACTAGCTTACCTACCCAGCATTGTTCAGGTGTAATGTGCACTTACAAACCAAACTAAAAATTTTGAATTCTACACAAAAGTAAACTGAAGTCAATTAATTTGCATCAACAGAGCTTATTGCAAAATTGGAAAAATGAAGGGCCCCTGGGAGGCCAGATTTCAACTGAAGTATGTGGAATGGTGTGGAAATGTATGCAGAACAAACTGAAAGAGACACCCTCTCTTCCTTACATATAAGGCACACACACACACACACATGTACAAAACCTATTACTTTCAGGGTTGTATATTGTCTCTTACACAAATATGCAGAGGTTATGGGCAAAAAATATGATCTTTCAAATTAACTGAGAATGCCTCAAGGCAATTTTCAGTTTTAATTTTATCATATCATAAAATTATTACAGGTTAATCACTTGTTAACAGAATAATTAAGACAGTAAATAACAGGAGGTGAGAACTTATTATTTTATAATACTGTTGTGTATTTTTTCTGCAATTCCAGTTCCACATCAAAAGTGACAGTTTCTTAAATACTGGTGTACATGGCTGGCATCACCTTTTGAGAGCCATATGAAACCTAAGTGGAGACAAATGGAATTCAGATATGTCTTCATTCATATAAACGAATTTTGAAATGTTGGGTGTCTCATCAGTTTGCTAAAGCCTGAATATCTGTGCTATGCACATAGAACTCATAGATGAAATTTAATATGTATATTTGTAGATGTTACCTGTATTTACCAGCATGTAGGATGACTGTTGTTAATGTGTGGAAATTTAGTATTTTCAGGTAAGTTAAGTGCGTTCTCTACAGGATTATTAAAAAATTTGCATAGAAATGTAATGCTGAAATCTTCTGATTGAGTAAATGATAGGGAGACAGTATGTGTCATTGATTATGGTGCAGGGGCAGTCAGATGCTCACCCCTTCTGTTATAATTGTAATCTGAACAAGGGGGCACAGATGCAAGATAACAGCCAATATATCTACATATGGATATACTACTTAATGTTATGTTGTATTACAATGAAATTTTCTCCGGTAATCATCTGTATCAATATGAAATTAATTTCCAACATTTTGATATGTTCACACATCGGTCTCTGAAATGGAAATTCATTTCATATTGTGATTGATCACCCAGGAGTACTTCATTGTATTCATTCATTTGAAGAGCGTCAAATCTTATAGTGTGTTACATTCTGTAATTTTGGCCCCTGGCATATATGTAGTATGGAACAGTGTTGCAACAAAGAAATGTTAAAAATTATGTGTTTAACTACAGTAATTGAAATGAATCATATGGCGAATGGAGCAGGATGTACTGTTATCGTGGAGTGCAGTTATATTGTCACCAAGCGCCTGGAGTAAATACCTGCAGGCCATAATTCAAAGTTGAAGGTGCATTAGGTGGGTGCATAATAAGGATTAAATGAAATACAACTTGCATACTTCTGGTGGTATTTTTATTAACAGATTTGATTTCTGATCCCTTATATGTGTTTATGTAAGTAATACTACAAAATTTGTGGGATGAAATGGGAGGAGGAATCCATGTTTGGTAAAGATGATAAATGTCCAGTCATATCTTGTATATGATGTGTTAAGAACATTTGAAATGGCAAATGCAACACTTCCCTTTCACTAAAACTTTTTAAATTACAGTATGTAGATGATCCAAAACGTTTATTTCTCCTTGCCTAATAGTCTCCCTTGTCAAAAATTTCCTCTTCTGTGTACAATGAAGAATGTGTATGATGTACACAAACTTATCTGAAATACCTTGATTATATGATTTCTTCTCTCTACTGACTAGCAGACCTACTGCATAGTGCCACAGATATTTCAGATAAGCTGTAATGGAACTTAAGAAATTACAGGCACAACAAGCATTGAACATCTGAAATATAAAAGCAACAACATACATTATCAATTTTATATCAATTCAGATTTTTTTACCGCAAAACCGATATGTAGGTAATATAATTGCTTAACTTTATTAATAAAAAGTTTTTGTTATGTTATTTTTTATAGTTTTTAATTTTCTCCATGTAGTTAAATGACATTTTGTATATAAATTATTCTCTTTATGTTAAATCAACAGCATGTACTCTGTGCAACAGATTGTATTGAAGTGTAATCATGGTATTGTCATGGCATGAATTTGTACAGAATATATATCTAAATGAAAATCATGTTTTCTTCATTTTAATCTGGTGAAGGTGATTTTCTGTAATGATGATATGTAAATAATTTAGGTAGAAGCAGAAGACAACAGTTATTTACAAGCATCTGACATTCAGATTGGTAGAAAATTAACATGAAAGTACGTGTAACATACGATAAATGATATGAACTCTGTCCCAAGTGCAACAGGATGCTTAAATATAATAATGAAAGTAACATGCCTGACACAGAAAGTGGTGGAAAATGAATGAAAAGGTGGAGGTAAATCTTATCTTTATATAATAAGATGATTTGTACTATATTAACCCATTACTCCTTCTAACATAATAGAGCATAGTAAACCTAGGACTCTGTTCCTTTTGATATAGTAAAATTTCAGTTAAAATTTAAATACCCAAGAAGTAAACTGAGTTGGTAATAGAAAAGTAGAATTTCCTCGTCATTCGACACAAGTAAACATGTTCAAAGGTACCTTCAATGATGTGGTTACATTACTGAATTACGTGTTTTTTTAACAATGTATTCAACTGGAAACAGTGTTTGAATGCAGGGATATGCTGGAGTCACTTATACAATTAAGCCAGATGGGTACAAACAATTCAGAACAGATTAAAGATGCGTGTTAGAAGTAAACGAGACACTATGACGTGCGCTCCACTCTAGAAAGCATTCTAATAGAATTCAGCATTTACAATTGAAAATGCAAGCCCATAATTAAAATTTTGGCAGCACACCCCTTTTAAGACCATGAAAATCATGTTAGACCATCTTATAATCTTATAATTGGTGAAAGAAATTGATATACAGATCAGTGGTGTTTAAATATTTCATGCCCACATACTTGTATTACTTTAAGAAACAATCTTGGAATATGTGTGTCTGTGGATCTGTCACAACCCCTAAAAGACACGGTTAAAAAAATATAAATTCACGCATTTTATAATTCCATAAAGCTATAAAATGTCAATAGGGAGAGACAGATCTAAAAAAGGCAGGTACTTTTGAAACCTTAAAAGTAATGAATCATGTACTGAGACAGCAGAAAGACAGGTGTCTACTCCACTTTTCTGATGCTGTTGGTTTTTGAGTTTTAATGCATTCAAGAGTTTGAGGTGACTATAGACAAAGAAAGAAAGCTGGAAATATTAGATTTTAATATGTGAGACATTGCAGTAGCATGTTGACAGATAGCAGACTGTCAGTTCCTTCCTGTCAGATTTAGTTCACAGGATATATACAATGAAAATCATTTTAAGTATCCCCATAAAATTATTTCTAATTTTCTATCAAAGGTGTTACAATCTTTACATCACTTGTACAACATTCTGTTATACAAAAGCTATGTGTAAGTATGGAGAACGTCATCTTTCACACCTTTCAGCTAGCTCTCTAAGACAGGTCTTTCCTAAACATTTATATTTAGTTGACTGATCAAGGAACATCCTGTTTTGGTAGCTTGAGGTTCATTATAGAGGTCTACAATTGGACCAGACTGAGAGTTAATTTGTGTAATATCAGCAGATCTATTTCAGCTCAATATACTTTCTAGGCATCTGTAAATCTCAAATTTTCAAGATAAAACTGAGAAATGATCTTAAGTTCAGTGTTGATTTTCAGATAATCACCTGCTTTTGCTTTCCCCAGTAAATGCAGTGAATACTGTGAAAGGATTTGAAATTCATACTGAGAGGAAATTTCCAGATTCAAGAAGTGATGATAAAGGACATAGCCCTACAACTGACTTTTTTTAATACAGCGGTTTTTTAACAATTTTTAATTGCAAAAGGAATAACTAATACACTTAGTGCATAGTAAAAAGTGGCTCACTAGTGTTATAAATTGTGATTATGGTATAAAGATTGTTCTACTAGAAGAAATCCTCATTCTTGTCTTGATTCTCAAAAGTTTTAGGGATTCACATCTCAAAATGAAAAGGTTACTCTCACACATGCCTAAGTATTTCCACATTTCCTCACTGATCATCACTTTCATTGCTTGGAACACCTCTTAATTAAGAGATTTTCACACTACAATGTGCTTCTTGTTTCACTGATGTACACTGCTTGCTTAGCCAATATGTTTCTCTGATTTCATTAGAATGGTTTTCACACACTAAAATTATTTCATTATATAGATCATTCTGTTTCAATGTTATCTTGGATCTCTCCTCTGCCCTAGCCGTTTAACAAAGGAAACATAAGATTTATTTCGAATTCCAATATCTGCTAAAAGTGCATTATCATCTTTGAGTTTTGAGCCTTCGTGAACTAGCCAGTTGACACGCCAGATATATCGCCAGCTAATATTCACTGATGACCGTTGATAACGTGTCAGCTTCAATGTAAAATAGCGACGGATGGCACGTTTGAGATCCAAAACAGTGGCCCCCTGCTGTTGCACCTGAAACAAGATACAGTTCTCCATTTAGAACATTTGATGATGTTGACAGTTTGAACTGTTTAACAGTTCTACCAGCAGACTGACAAACACTATACAAGAGAAGAATAAGTATATACTGTATGTCTGCTGCTACAAACTGACCCTCAGAATTTTCATTTCGCCCTAAAAATGATATTGTAATGAAATAAAAATCACCAAGTAGTATATGTTAATGCAATAATTTTCAGTTAGAAATCAATAACATATCTTTCACAAAGCATGAATTTAGCTTGAAAAATGTAGCCTTAAGAATAATTTGAAGCACTCTTAATTCCAAAATTAAGAATTTTACATAATGCAAGTGATAAACTGAACTTTTTAACTCAACATCTCTCATAACAATAGTATTTCGGGTTAATTGCATATGTATTTGTAAGAATTCAAGATTTGACATTTTCACATCAGTTAAGAGATACTGTGGTCTTCTGGTTCATGGGACTGTAATCTGGTACACTGAAATTGGAAATGGTATGTTCCTATGAAACATTGGTGCCATCTAGCACACTATGGTATCATAATCCAGAAGACCATAACAGAAGCAGGCTCTGAATAGGCATTGCTGTGGACTTGAGCAATCTCAGTGAGCATTTGAGACACTATAATATAGATATCTGAAATTGTTTTATTTAGTAGCTCAAAATTTGTGAATATGATTCAAGCATACATAATTCCTGGTCAGTAGTACCTGAAGAACAGGTTTATTATTTATTTGCAACTATGCTGTTAGTAACTCATATTGCATTGAATGACTGGACAGGAAAGAATAAGGAATTGGAAAGGCTCTGGAAGGAAGTAGTTATGGCCTAATTTATGGTACTGTCCTGCCACTTTCCTAGAGGGACAGAGGAAAACCAAGAAGAAATCTCACTAATGATAGTCCCAGCTGAAATTTTGTCCATACACTTTCCAGATGCAAGTCAAAAGCATTACTGCTTCAGGCAGCATGCTCACTGTATCATAAAAATAATGAAGATGCAACAAAGATTTAATTGTATATTATAAAATATGTATTAATCAAATATCAGTTCTCCGAATGACCATAGTGACACTGTAAACAAGGATCAGTATACCCTCTCTATACTGGAAAACATACACAAGTGAAACACAGAAACATGGAAAGTCAATAGTAATGAAGGAAAAGACTTTTTAAGTATCTGAGAACAACACTTCACAAGAATCAAAGAGTTCATGATGAAATTAATATTCTGGGAATGAATATTATTCAGTTCACAAAGTGTTGTCACCCCATCTACTTTCCAAAACATTTAACACTGGGATACACGAAACAATAATTTTGTCATTTTCTTTATGGGTGAGAAAACTGGTCTACTTTAAGAAAGGAATATAAATTACACATCTTTGAAAAGAAAGTTGCTATACCCAATCCCCATGATGGAGAGAATATCATTATTCATTATCTATAATTACCACAACTGGCATTTCTTCTCCATCATCACGAACAACAAAAACTGTCATTGATTGGCCATGCTCAAGAGCAATCTGTGATTGCACTTCTTCCAATGTGACACCACTTGGAAGGTCAGAAAGTAATGGGTCACGCTTCAAAACGTCAGTGAGTGTTTTTTGTGTTATTTCCAACAGTTCCTGGTGACTCAGGACTTCTGGTTCACTGCCAGAAAATTCATCATCTTGCAGAGTCTTGTCACTTTCTTCCTTAACAGACTCTGACATTTTGGAATTCTGAAATAAATGTTAATCCATGCCATAAAATTAACCACTATGAAAATGAATGCACATGATAACCAAATATTCAGATATTGACTGTCAGAGACCTTGCATAAAGTGGGCAGTCATGTTATAAATATGCCAGTGTCATGCAAATTCTCTTATACTTCTAGCCAGATTTGTCTGTCATTAAAACACATTTACTTATTATTCTCTTATTTCAGCCAACAACCAAACATCTGTAAATTTAAATCAAATTATACTATTCAGAGAAGATTGATATGGTCCTGGGTTATGACTTTGTTCAGTAACTACTTACTTACTTACTCATGGCCGCGCCATATCTTAAGCGGTTAGTCACTGGCTTCTCACCGCGGCAGCCCGGGTTAGATCCTGGGTCTGGTCAAGTGGGATTTGCGGTGGACAAAGTGGCGCTGGGGCAGGTTTTCTCCGAGTACTTCGGTTTCCCCTGCCAATCTTCATTCCACCAATTGCTCCACAATGACCCTCACCTATCATCTGGGGCTGGTACAAAAGGCCAGAAGTGGCCACAGTACAAGGGACTTAGTCCCACCCCACTAGTATTAAAAAAAAACTTACTCATGGAGTTAAGCCCTTCTGGAGGAGCCGCCAATTCTGCAGGTACTCAAGAATTTCCCAGCATTTTATGGAACCCGAAGGTTCATCATCATGTTCACAAGAGCCCTCCACTGGTCCCTATCCAGAGCCAGATCTATCCAATCCATACCATCCCATCCCATCTCTCTAAGATCCATTTTAATATTGTCCACCCACCTATGACTTGGTCTTCCCTGTGACCTCTTTCCTTCTGGCTTTCCCATCAATATCCTATATGCATTCCTCATCTCCCCCATTCATGCTACATGACCTGCCCACCTCATCCTCCTTGACCTTATCATTCTAATTATACTTGGAGAAGAGTACAAGTTATGAAGCTCCTTAGTATGCAGTTTTCCCCTTCATCTCTCTTCGGTCCAAATATTCTCCTCAACACCCTGTTCTCAAACACCCTCAGTGTATGTTCCTCCCTTAATGTCAGAGACCAAGTTTCACACCCATACAGAACCACAGGCAAAATTATAGTTTTGTATATTCTAATTTTTATGTTTTTGGACAACAGACAAGAAGACAAAAGGTTCTGGACTGAATGGTTGCAAGCATTACCCAAGTTCAATCGCCTCTTAATTTCCTCCTGAATCAGGTTTTGATCTGTTATCGTTGTTCCCAAATATCTGAACTGTGTCACATTTTTAACATCTTTTTCCTATCTTTATGTCATGATTTTGCC